GGCTGGTTGCATCCCAATTCGCATAGTTGAGAACATAAATACATATAAGAAACAAGAACATATGTTTTGAGCATATTGTAAATATACTGGGAGATTCTGCGACATTACATTAGGTGCAAGGCTTGACATTTACACCCGCAAAATGTGGGTGGATTTCAGCAGTGGAGTGTCTACTGAATTTTATATATAGTCTTTTAAAAAGGGATCTGAAACAATAAATCAAGTGCAATGTATGTATACATATCGATATTGAAATATCTGTAACTTTTCCGACACTCATTTTCCGCAGAATCAGATCCACGATATATCTGATCTCTCTGACAGCGAGGGGCACACAAACCCTCCTCTTCTCACTCACTCCAGTCACTTTCATTTGCTCCAGATGAATATTGTTGGTGTTACAGGGCTTGAATTTCGGCGCGGGATTGTCCATAATTTTACTCATTCCGACATATTTTGTGTTCACACCAAAAGCATGCGCACATAAAGCCGCCTCTCAGTACAAAATTGAGTTATTTTTCGCTGCTTATTGCGCTTAAACAGTCAAATACACACCAAATAATGTCAAAATGCCATAGTGAGTATTCACGTTAACACAGACAGTAATGTAAAGTGAACTTGTCAAAAGTACCGACTTCGGTACCAAGTCGGTACTGAAATTTTTAAATAGTGACGCTTTGAGCGCTGATGAGTTGAATCATAAAGACCTCTGATTGGCCATTGTGTTCAAACACTCATTGGATATGTCTGTGATTGGCTACAATGATCAACGCACGGGAGCGTTTGAGAGCACACGGAAGGGTTTGAAAGTGTAAAAAAGTTGGTACTTTTTGACAACACTAAAGTGAACGTAAACAGTTTAGAAATAAAACACGTGTAACAGTATAATGGATCCGTGCATTAAGTTTTAAAGTGACAGGAACATACTTGCTGCCAAATTATGAGATAATATTAAAAAAATATATCCATATGGCAGTTTTTCCCCATAGTATCGATGGCAAAATTTTGGCTTGTGAAAACGCTGAGTGGCTAGTTTAGAAAACCACTTGCCACAGCCACATAAAACAAAGAAAAGCAGTCATAGGAGAATAGTGTGGCCTGTTAAAAAAAAACGAATTCGATTTGAAGCTTGTGACATGTAAACGCGCACATCAACCTGATTATTTTATTTAGCAGTCATATAAACACTGTTTGGATTCATCAATCGGAATGAAAACAAATTTTAACGAAAGTTGTCCACACTGAAAAAAAAGTTGATTTACCTGATTTGATAGTGTATATTGGTCACAATGTATTCACGTAACTTCAACATCATGGAATTGAGTCATTTTAAGTGACCCAAATAAGTGGTCTGAAAGTGAATTTTGAAAGGCTGCCTGAAATGAATCAGATATTCAAATTCATATATTCAATCATCCAATATAATTTCACTTATTTTAGTGTCACACAATTGAAATTCTATACTATAGCCAACTATTCGCTATCAATAGCACTTGTTATTATCTTAAATGCTAAGACTTGTATGCTCTTTCAGTCACAACACTTAATTAATTGTTATTGAATCAGTCCACAGACTATCCAAATGCTCCACTCTTCTCCACAATGGTAACCCACTGTAATTTAAATGGGTCTAATTGAACATTAAACACAATTACACACTATCAAGCCTTCAAATTTCCTAATTTTCTCAACAACAACAAAAAAAAATAATAAAAAAAATAACACCTAATTTCAACATTTATTCTCTCTTAATTCAACCATATGCAAAGCATGCTGGGAACTAACAAGCACCGCCCAGTTTCAGTTAACGCAACACAAATCATTCATTTAATCCAACACAAACCGATTCAGTAAACTTACATTTTACATATATTTAAGCAGAAGTTTGGACAAAATGTATAGCATTTGTGATGCTTAAGCTCATTTTAACCAAGCAATTTGAACAAGCAGCAAAAAGTTTGTGTTTGCATGCAAGCATTAGAATCAATCTAGCTAAATTCACTGCCTTAAAAAAATAATATTATTATACACTTGACTGCAACCAAAAAAAGCAAGCAGAAAAAGCAGTTCACAATCTGGTGTACTCTCAACTCTGTATACTGTATTCAATGTGCAATGATTTGGATTTCACTTACTCTAATTTTGCATACAGTTTAGAAAGGATAGTATGCAAATTAGTCATTAAGTAACATTGTTGGCTGTGAGTAATGGAAACTTTGCATAGATGCTCTCACAGTTCCCATGGCGATTTGGTTCCCAATTGGTTGCTATGTGCCATCTGTAGTCATATTTCCTTAGCGATGTCTTTGTAGAGGAAAAGATGTGAATGACTGACTGATGTGCTTCAAATAAAAAATTGTAATGCCATTTAATTCACTCAACTAACACTAAAATCCACAACTAAGACCTTTCAGATGTTTCTCTTGGAGAGCAGTGGGAGATGTTTGCTCAAATCCCCTAGCTTATGTTTCTCCTGAGAAAAAGATCTCAATATTTGTCTCCACAAAACAATTTACCAAGACACCAAAATCTGCACTCAGAAGCAGAAACTCTCCTTGTGCTTACTCCCTGTAAACTTGGCTCATAGTAGTAGACCTCTAATTGACATGCAAGTTATTTATTCAAGGATAAACATCAGAAAGCCTTCAAATGCAATATACGCCCAAAATACGTAATCTAGCAAAGCGAATATTAGTCAAGCATGACTTTTCAATAGAAATCTAAACCTGGCATCAATTATTCATTCCGTCCAAATGTGTTGTTATTGAAAAGCGATGAGCCAGATTGTACTGCCAATAGAGACACTGATGTGTTCAATGAGTTCTGGATGGGCTCCGACCGCAGTCCTGAGAGAAGAATCCAAACTCTGAGCAGAACTTCTGCTTCTCTAATGGATGCACATTCGCCACAAGCACAACACATGGTGTTATCAGTTACGTCGAATCAATGATGATTCACTTCTTCAGCCCTCGCCGGGCTTTCAACACCTGAGGGGATGAAAACATTTTTCAAGTCGACGCTCTCTCTCCTCTCATTTTCAACGAGGCAGAATGTTTACAGCTTACATTTTCAACTCCCATTGTCAAACTCTAAAACACAATAGTCCGATTTTAGAAAATCATACTGACTTAAACCTTGAGATAAAACAGATATAATTTGTCTCTGTCAACAAGAAAGGGCGTTCTCAAAGGAGCTTAAAAATGAAATAAACAGTAAATAAATAAAGGATAAACTGTTTTTCTCAGACTTTCTATGAGACCTTTGAGACAAACCTTATCAAATGATGAATCCACATCCAGTTCACAAATATATAAATTCCTTAAACTTTGCATCATATCAGTGAATAATAATATTCAAAATATGACCTTTAACCTCTTAAAAGTAAAGTTTGCAGGTCCTTAAACTTTGAATGTCTCTGTTCTCATGAATCCAAAAGCTCAAATAGGGAACTAAACTATCAATTAATAATAATGGATACATTATTCTGTTGGAATTAGCGAATGAAATTATTAGTGAAAATTGTTAAAGGAGTAGTTCACTTTTAAAAAAATTTTGCTGATAATTTACTCACCCCTATGTCATTCAAGATGTCCATGTCTTTCTTTCTTCAGGCGAAAAGAAATTAAGTTTTTTGATGAAAACATTCCAGGATTTTCTCCATATAATGGACTTCAATGGGAATCAAACAGTTCAAGGTCCAAATGAGAGTTTCAGTGCTGCTTCAAAGGGCTTTAAACGACACCAGATGATGAATAAGGGTCTTATCTAGCGAAACGATCGCACATTTGAAAAAATAAATAAAAAGTTTAAGTTTTATAAGCACAAATGCTCGCCTTGCTCTGTTCTGTGATGAGCGTTCGTGACTCACCTGTTCATTAAAATGAACAAACCTTTTTTCGAGTCATGACTCGAAGGGTCCTAGATAAGATCCTTATTTATCGTCTGGTGTCGTTTAAAGCTGCACTAAAACTCTCATTTCGACCTTGAACCATTTGGTTCCCAATGAAGTGCATTATATGGAGAAAATCCCTGAATGTTTTCATCAAAAACCTTAATTTCTTTTCGACTGAAGAAAGAAAGACGTGGATATCTTGGATGACATGGGGGTGAGTAAATTATCAGCAAAAGTTTTTTTTAAAAAGTGAACTACTCCTTTAACATGTTTTCTGAATTGAATTTTGAAACTTAGGCCGCGTTTACATGACAACAAACTATTAAAACCGGAAAAGTTTTTCCTTCCGCGCACAGACAACAATGTTGTCAAAATGAACGCCCTTCACACGCATCCGCAAAAGTAAATTCAAACGCTGTATTATTCACGCCAGGCCAAGTTGGTGATATCACTTTGTGAAATGCACCTATAGACTGAAAACATTTATGTGCATGACCATTTTCACAAATTCGTGACAAATAAACAAACAAAATGACAGCAACAACCATTCAAAATTATTTCTGACTTTTCATTATAACTACAACAAATTTTGCTTGGTGCACTTTTTTTTTAGTTTTTCAATGTTGTTCTAAAAATATGAGATACTGTAGTTGTGAATAGCACACGTACGTCTGCAAGATGTATATTAAAGATTACTTAATCTGGGAAACAAGCATCTGATAGACGTCTGTTTTACATACATTCTAAATATTAAACATAGACATCTTCAAAACGTCTAGGCCTATTTGATATCTGACAGGAAACGTCCTATAGACGTATTGCAAATGACTGAGCACACTCTAAAAATTAGATAGCTAGACGTCTCCGTGGTGTGTGCTATGTTATTATTTCCTATTATCACTGTAAAGCCGCTTTGGAACAATCCTTTGTTTAAAAAGAATGAACATGACTATCCGTCAACAACAACACGCATCGCATGGATCCAATTTAGCGTCAAAAGAGTCAAAAGACTAACTATTCTGAGAAAATGTTTCGTTATCTCCTTATACGTTCGTCATTTTCTAATGATTTTCTACATTTAAAATGTTTTACAGGATACATAACTCACCTGCCGTTTAAAAGCGCGAGCAGCTCGCCCGCGTGGTACAGGTCGTTGCGCGTCACGCGGCCGAAGCGGAAAGAGTTCAGGTTGCAGAAGGTGACGGCAGGAAACGCCATCAGTGGTGCTGAGATCTCGTCCAGCTTGGTGACATGAGGATACTGAAAGTAAAACTTGATGCGGTCAGCGCAAACAAGCACCAGGAACGAAAAAGAGCCCAAGAAAAAGATGATCCAGAGGCATCGTTTGATGTACTGGCGTTCATAACTGAACATATGTGAGATGCCATGGAGAGTGGACCTGCTGGCAAAAACTTCAATGGGTGCGGGCTGCTCACAGTCCAGGTTATCATCAGACTCGGCTTTAATATCCATGGTTCTCGAAGTTTAGAAAATCACTGGATGAAGCAGGAGAAATTTAAGGAATTTACGCCCTTAGATGGTCAGTTGATCTTTACAAGCATAAATGAACCTGGTAGACAGAAAGCAGTTGCAACAATCCTTGCAACATCTTCACGATGGTGGTCCAGTGTTCCAGCAAGTTTCTGCACTGTAAAGTGAAATGGGACCTTCTACCAAATCTAAACTTACGTTTGTAGATCTAAGATGAATTCAGGTTAATTTTGTCATTTTATATCACATTTCCACATAAAACCACATTAAGCGCATTACCCTTCTCAAATTAGCGATAAAAGAACAGTTTGAAGAAATCAACCAATAACACGAACTGTCACAGATATATTAGCTCCGATGTCCCCGGGATCTTCAATGAAACAACTCCGTAGTTGAGTATCGTCAATTCATTGTCCGTATCGTATCCTCCAGTCGATTCAGCGCAAATGACAGAAAAAACAAACGTGATGATAACGCTTCCCCTTATAACTACTGTAATTTATTTGCATGCATCCCTACAAGGTGTTATGGACAACTGAAACGCATCGCTCGATGTAAAGAGAATGTCTTCACATCTATTCACAACACTAGACACATCCGCGGTGTCAAAACGGCTCAGATCGTGTTTCAAGCTCGATACAATAAGCGATCCGCAATCCAACTTCAGCACGCGCGCTGTTAACGGCAACACAGATGCTCTCTGGATGTTGGCATCACTAAAATGTCCCCCTCTCTAGGCGAATTAATGCAGCACGGCATGCGTATCCATATCAGATAAAGTGTCGGGTTGTAAGTTATAGCTATAGTCCCCTTCCGTCCAGTCCTGTGGGTTGGTTTAGATGTAGACAGACACGTCAGGAATGAACGCTGAACGGTGCACACTGCGACGAAGCCTCCATCCAAGTGCCCTACTGTCTGTCTGAGCATCACTGTCTATATGACCCGACCATTTTTTTTTTGAGAGAGAGAGAGAGAGAGAGAGAGATTTCGGTGTAGCCTATCATACATCAACTATAGCCTATTTTATTATATGTTTCATTATTAGCCTATTATATGTATTTACCTTTTATTCTTTAATATCACACTTTTTTTTGCTATTTATTTTTTTAGCTACCTTGTTGACTTTTGTTATGTTTTGTTATTTTAGGCATTAATTCGCATTAAAACAAAAACGCGTTTTACTTATTCTTATTATATTGCATATTTAATGCAATTTGTATTATATGCATTATTATTTGCATTATCATTATCTTTTATACCTGTATGTATAATTGTATTATGCCTTTCACTGTAAATGACTCTGTATATTTCCTTTTGTTAGATACTGCAATAAAAAATAGCCCTCGAAGGGACAATAAATACACACTATACTAACTAAAGTGATGTGCAGTTATGATGTATATCTGATCTGACAGTCCTGCTGACCAGGAGGTGCTTGAGTGATAAATGAGCATATACAGATCAGAAAGACTGATCAGTATTATTTGAGAAACTCGCAGCCGAGGGGTGAAAGGGAACCCACCCATGAAATTACACCGAGTGCATTTTAATCCAGGTTTGTGACAGTATTGGCTAACGCTGGGTGTCGCTGTCACTGGCCGAATCAATAGCCGTGATGATGTGGCCCACAGCTGATTATCAACTTTCAGAGAAGCTTAAGTGTCAGTCTGTTAATGGACTCGCATGAACTCCACAAACTGAAGCAAAACCCTTTCCAGCTTTAAAACGGTCTGTCCAGGTATGACTTTGGAGTCTATAAAAGAGGTTTAAATATGATCTGGATGTTTATTGATCCATCACATGAGGATGTGGAATAAGAAACCAAGCTCCAGAAGTGAGGTGAAGGGTTATTCCCGTGAGTCGCTGAATAAGTACAGTGTCATAGGACTGTATATCATATGTGTGCCTATGGCCTGAAACACACTCTAAGCAAGTATCAAGCTCGATTTTATGATATATAATTCCACATTCGCTATATATCTTAGAGTATCCACAACAACGCCATGTTTTTCATGGCAAAACATTTTTTAGAAAGCCAATAAATGTATTTACTGCTACAATCTTGAATCTCCACTGAAGATATACGGTTTGACGAAACGGCTTACAAGAATACATAAGATGCCAAAGAGAAAAGTTATTTCTAAAAAGAAATCGGGAAACTTTCAGCGATGCAAATTGCTTATACTTAAAAGGATTTCCTGGACACCATTAGTATAACAGCATCAATCTATTATTCACATTTGAAATAAATGACTCATTGGTCAGAAATTGCGGTATGCAACTTTTGTAAACAAAAATTCCAATAAAACCTTAAAATCCTTCAACTCTTTCCCTGCCGTTGACATAAATTTCTGTCGTTTTTGACAATGCTTCACTGATCACTGTAAAAACATATTTTCAAGATTTGTCACAAAATTTTTTTTTGAACATCTTTTGTCAAATCAACTTAAATAATTTATTTAGTTCAGATAACTTATTATTTTGAGTTTCTGATGATTAAATCAATCTCCATTGTATTAACTCACTTTTTCCATTTTAATCAACTTAAAATTTTAAGGCAATCATGTTACTTAATTTTTTAAGTTACACCAACAATATTATTTTCATGCATTTTTCTCATCTCAAATTGCTTTTTGAATAAAACTTGTTCATTTAAAAAAATAATGTATGAAGCTAGAAAATATTTACTGTAGTTGTTTTGTTTAAAAGCCAAAGGCTCTTTTATTATATTTTCAGATATTCATACAAACAAAATAGCACATATTCTGAACAGGTTTTGGTTTATGAGGTAACCAGGTATATCTCAGGTCGTCTCTGGTGAGCTGGATGGAAGTGGCCTATAAAGCTCTTCCCAGAAACATCTGTTTGCAGCTTGTTTCAGCTCCCATCATGCTCTGCTTGCACCATAACGCATGTCTACAGATGCGCTGTGCGACAAATTAAATGTCTCGTGCACCAAAGCGAAGATAGGCTGGTAATGAAGATGACGGGATGCTGGTAGCAAAAGGAAAGAGTTTATCAACTGCATCCTGGGAGCTTTTACCACAGAGTAGTGAAGCGGCAGATACATGAGGACAGAAGGGCGCCATGGAAGATAGACTCTAGAAATCAACTGAGTCGTCAGGGGGCCGGAAATGGATTATTAAAAGCATGGTTACTCAAAACTTGTGATCTTTTACCGCAGGGAAGTTACAGAGCCATAATCTTCAGAAGAAGAAAAACTGTCAGTACGCAAAATAAGCTCGAGCGCTTGAGCTAAAGTGGGAAAACTGCTAGCAGAGCAGATTTAAGTTGAAGCACACTGGCAGTAAAGCAGATGTTGGAGGCGTGGACTAGCAGTTAGCAAGTGTACTCGGATCAGAGTCGGGGGAAACGACTCAAAAAGTGAAGTTTGACAAGCTACTCAAAATTCAAATGTAGCTTTCCCTGCAAAGTCAACAATCTTGAATCTCAAGTTAGGGTTGGATGAAACACTTTACAAGAATACATAGTTCCCAAAGAGAAAACTAACTTCAAAAAGGAAATCCGGAAACTTTCATCCATTAACATTAATGCAAAATGCTTAGACTTAAAAAGGATTTCCTTTTTAATGGACAACATTAGTATCACAAAGTTGATCTATTATTCACATTAGAAATAAATGGCTCCTTTGTCAGAAATTGCGGTTGAAACTTGGCATGTTTCCTCATAATGCCTTGATGTCCATGTGTGCCAAGTTTTGTGAAGTTTGGACATTGTGCTGACAAGATACAGGCCAATACATCATTATGGACCACACCCATACACATTTCGGACCATATTTGCTAAACGATTAAATTAATCTAAACTTCATTTGATAAAATTTTGTCAGGAGCATCTTAAAGGGATAGTTCACTTTGAAATTGATTTTTGGTATGTTTTGGTATGTGCAGACCGAAGCATCCTCAGATCATTTGGACGTGGCTGTGGTTACAAGAGGTAAAAATGATATAAATACTGTTCGTTTTCTCACACAAACCGCTCGTTTTGTGTCTTAGGCCATCAATGTGTACTTACATTTACGAGTCATTAAATCATGTTTAATTTGGACTTCTTTGTGCATGCTCTTTGAGGTGGACCCCCTATACCTCCATTATATGGCTGACAGACAAGAACGGTTTGACCTAAAAATATCAAAATACTGAAAATACTGCGGAAACAGAGACACCTACATCTTAGATGCCCTTGAGGTAAGCTAAAACATATCAAAAATGTATTTCAAAGTGAACTGTCCCTCACTTAACTGTCACCGTCCCACAGGTGGGACGTTTGCCACTATATTTTTAAAACAATAATATCTTAGTAAATACCTTAAATAATATTGACAAACTATATATCATTTGAAAGCTTACAATCTCTAGTTTCCATATTTGGTGACTGATTTTCAAAATATATTACAGAGAAGCCATAATTTATCAATATGCAACAAGAATATTTTCATACTCATAAGGCGTGTTCAGACCTTTATTTTAAAATAGCAGTAAACATGCAAAATCATGAAAAAATGGTAGAAACCTCAGTTTGTTTTCATGCCAAAAGTTCAAAAGATAGAATCCATTCAATTATTTTGGAAAAAAAAGGTCTGAAAAGTTTGAAATATCAAGAAAAAAATAATAAATTCACCATTTGTGACGTGGCAGCTAGCTATGACTTACATGCATGTTCTTTGTATGTGTTTCTTAGAGGTTCAATTCATATCAAAATCTGCCAAACTTCCCATACTACTTCTGAATAGGATCTCTACTTCAGAAATTGTATGAAAATTGTGAAAATAATGGTTCATATCACTCAAAACACGAATGGAAATGCAGACGCCCTTATATGGGCAGTAATGGAGTCTGATTGTGCCCTAGTGAAAAAGTTTGGTACTGCGCTCAAACAAAATCTTACTGAAAGCTCATTTTTTGAGATATCAATCTAAAATTGAAACACAACTTGTTCAGATTTTTGGCTTTGATTTTTCTGCAGTTTTAGAGTAGCCCAGGTTTTGAAAATATATATTTTATGTAAAATATGAATAATTAATATTTTTACATTGTACATTTCCATAAACTCAAACTTCTATAACTTTTTTTCTGTTTAACTTTCTTAATTTATTTCACTTCTACAAAAATCTGCCAAATGTCTTCTTTAAAACAAGACCAATCATATGTCTATATTCCAAAGCGTTCTTGAATTACAACCATTTAAGTTTGAAATGTGCATTTTCATGTCTATTCAAAAAAGGGGGGGTGACAGTTAAGATGTTAAGATGGTGCACATCCAATTTCATCAAATTATTGTGTAAAATCAGGGATTTCATTGATTTACATTGACCTAGTAACCTTAATTATCATTCTGAATAACTAACCAGTGCAAGAATAAGAGTAGTGAGTATTTATTTAAAATAGTTAAAGTTCTGAAAAACAAAAGAGGTTCGCAAAGTCTTTGTATGCTCCTTGCTGAGAGTTCAAGCAGATGTGGCCTTTCACAGCCTGCCAGATCTCAGGGAACAGGATCTAAGATGAACGAACTCGTGTCTGGTCGGCGTCCATGTGGCAATTTCAGGATTGCAAAAAGCGAAAAAGGCTGTTGACCCCATTGTGTTGTAACCTCAAGCTTTGGCAAACCACAAGCCAGCAAGCATGTCCAAAAGACTGTCTTCTTGGCATTTCGATTGCAAGCCAAGTGACCAGAGTTGAGATAATGTTGGCCGGCCCTTGAGGGATGGACAGATGGACGATTAGCTATAATGAGGTCCTGCAGGGATCAGTGTGACATGGAGCAAAGACAAGAGATTGCCCAAGGACATACTTGTCTCTGGGAGAATGGAAGCCATTTTAATATCGTTTGGTTTGGGAGAGAAATTGAATGTTGAATGTTCTGGATCACAAATACCTCAACACTAAAGCTTTGTTCAGCGCATAACACTTCT